TCTCTCACAGAGATATTCTATCTACGGGGATCTGACGGGCAGAGATCTTACATTTTAGTTCTTCCTTTTTTTTTTTTCCAGAGTGTCTTGGCTTTCCATGCCTGAAATACTCTCATGGGCTTTTCAGCCAGATCAGAATGCCTTTAGGGCTGATTCTGAGGCCAGAGTGCTGTTTAGGATATCTGCCATTCTATGAGTCTGCTGAGTATCTCGCTTCCCATGTTGGATCACTCTCCCCTTTATTTATTCTATCGGTTAGTATTAGCAGGTACTAGACTTGTTTATGTGCTCCCTTTGACTCTTAATCCTTTCATTATGATCAATTGTCAACTGAAATGGATCACTTGAACTAGTGAGATGGCATTGGTACATGCCACCTTGATGGGATTAAATTGGAGTCCCCTGTGAGTGAGATCCCAGTGGAAAGAACAGGTCTTCAAAGAAGGAGGTACCTTTCTCTGAAGGGAGGAGAGAACCTCCACTTTGACTATGACCTTGTCTAAACAAGATAAGAGTCAGAGAACTCAAGGGGCTTCCGTAGCCTTGGAAACTCATGACTGGTGCATAGGGAGATTACTGATGCCATGAACAGGAGTGTCAATTGGTAAAGTCAACAACAGGAGTCACTGTGCACTTACTCCTCATGTAGGATCTCTGTCCTTAATGTGCTCTACATTGAGACTTAATGCTATAACGAGTACTCAAACAGTATATTTCACTTTGTGTTTCTATAGGGGTGCAAACTGTTGAAATCTTTACTTAATGTATACTAAACTGATCTTCTGTTAAAAAAAAAAAAAAGAAGAAATTAGCAATTCCCAACTTGACTCTCACTGGGATTAAACATGACAATAGGTCTGATCTGATTTCATCATCATTTAAAAAATCATCTATTATTTTTCACTTTCTGTTTCTGTGTGGGAGCAAACTGTTGAAATCTTTACTTAATGGATGCTAAACTGATCTTCTGTAGATAAAGAGAATCAAAAAATGAATCTTGTGGGGAGCAACTGGGAGCAACTCGGATTAGACTGTTACTGGAATTAAGACTTATTCTATGCATCTGCTCTCCCACAATATGGCACTGGGAGAGGAGCAAACAGCTTCTACACAGCTGCCTCCAGTTCAACCAATAAGCAGCAGGACCTGCTCCTGATTGGAGGAGAGCAGCGTACTCGGTGTGTGGGTAGCAGAGTTGGGATTGGTGGAAGAGGACTATAAAGGAGGAGAGAGACAACTTGCACCAGGAACATCTGAGGGAACACTTGTGCAGCCCGCGAGAGAGCCGGCCTGCGGTGTGCCGCTCCCCCGCGGAAGTGCGGAAAGTGGCTAGGGGGAACCGCCCTTCCACGGAGGTGGAAGGGACGGTAGCCAACCCGGGAAGAACCAGCAGCAAACCCGGGGATGGCCGAGCAGACAAAAGAACAGCGCAGGGTCCTGTGTCGTTCCTCCACGAAGAGGGGGAGCGACAAATCTTGATGTGAATGGAAGGGGAGAGGGAGTGGGAGAGGGGAGGGTTGTGGGTGGGAGGGACGTTATGGGGGGGAAGCCATTGTAATCCATAAGTCGTACTTTGGAAATTTATATTCATTAAATAAAAGTTAAAAAAAATCTTAAAAAAAAAAAGAAAATGAATCTTGATGAAGAATGGGATGGGAGAGGGAGCAGGAGATGGGAGGCTTGCGGATCAGAGGGAGCCACTGTAATTCAAAAGCTGTACTTTGGAAATTTATATTTATTAAATAAAAGTTAAAAAATAAAATTATGCTGATAAACTCATTATACAGTAAATTTGGCTCCTCAAAAACTGTTAGGTCAAATATATAGTAAATCAACAGAGGAAATTCATCAGAAGAAAGTTGAAACTAATTGGTAAAATATCATAAATACTTCTGGTTAGTGAACACACACATCTATGTCCAATAAACTTCTCCCTTTGCGTGTATTGCTGTGAAAATAGAATGTCAACTCACCAAGCAGTTTAGGGTTTATCATGAGCTTGGTGATGTCTTAATCATACAATGAATATTCCATTCATATGCCATAGCAATTATCACTAGATAGAAATGAACATGAGTAAATCTGGAAGGCCAGAGTAAACTGGATGAGAAAGGGGTTCTGATTCATTCTATACACCTGTTGCACTAGCATCACTTCTTTAGTCCTTTAGTATGTACTTCTGCAGCGCTCTTCTTGAACCCTGACTGACAAAAATTTTATCCTAGTTTATAGACAGCTATGCAAGACATGCTGTTACCACCTGCAATCAAATAGATGGGGCATTATACATTCCCAGAAACAGGTCATAAATCCGAAGGATGGCAAGATCTATTTAAAACATGAAAGTTATAAAAATGAATAGAGAACAATCAGTGTTATCTACCTTCCCATGAAAGAGTATGCAAGCACATCTGGGTGGAAGGCAGAAGACTTACTGAGGTGCCACCCTAGTGGAGCTAGAATCTCCTACTCTGTGGTGCTGTGGGAAGCTGTCCAGTGGATTCCACGTGTTAGAACTGACTATAAACCTAATCTTGATTGGGTCAGTGATTAACATTAATTGGAGGAACATCGCCGGAAGCACTCATCTTGAAGCTGCTGGCTGTTAGATACAGCTGATTGCATTCGATAAGCCACATGCTGGAGAAACTGCTGCCTTTCCAGGGGCAGGGCTCCAGAGAAGCTGCACACACTGCTGGCCGCTGGTGAGCAGAGCGGATCAGAACCAGAGATAGAGGTCCCTTCTCCATCTGAGACTTATACTGATGAAGATTAGATTTCATGATTATTGGAAAAGAAATATTAACAAGGTTATTTACATTATTCCAGAGCAATCAATAAAATGAAATATGAATTTATAACTGACAAGCAATAAATTGGAAACTGGATCATTCTGGAATCAAAAGTGTAGTCCATCCTGATACTAAGAAAGGAGAGTTTATCTCTTTCAGTTATCAGAACAACCAGAGTTGTCTTTATTTTCTTTATAATGGGTCTTCAATCAAAACTCTAATTCACTTGAAACACAAAGATTGTCTCCGAGAATTCAAGTATTTCCTACTTACTGAACCAAATTGTGTCTTGAAATATAAGAACTATTTAAGCTTTATGTATCTTACCAGTTATTCACTATGAAGATTCACGCTTACATTCTTCTGGGAATAATACACAATTCAAAATTGTGATGTCTAGTATTTTAGCTGAAGAGAAGTGCTAACTCAGAAATAAAATAGGTGAAAGGAATGAAGAAATTGGAAATAATTATGAATTCAAATAATATATACTTACATTTAATTTTATGGTTTTGAAATCGTATATGAAAAATACTATTTATGAGCCTAATATTGTGCATTAATTGTCGCTCCCCCTCTTCGTGGAGGAACGACACTAAACCCTGCCTAGGCTTCATATCCAAGTCACGGCACCATTATGTCACTCCCCGTCTTCGTGGAGGAACGACACAGGACCCTGTGCTGTTCTTTTGTCTGTTCGGCCCTCCCCGGGTTTGCTGCTGGTTCTTCCCGGGTTGGCTACCGTCCCTTCCACCTCTGTGGAAGGGCGGTTCCCCCTGCCACATTCCCCACTTCCGCGGGGGAGCGGCACACCGCCGGCCGGCTCTCTCGGGGGCTGCACAGGTGTTCCTTCAGCTGGATGTTCCCCTTAGATGTTCCTGGTGCATGTTGTCTCTCTCCTCCTTTATAGTCCTCTTCCACCAATCCCAACTCTGCTACCCACACGCCGAGTACGCTGCTCTCCTCCAATCAGGAGCTGGTCCTACAGTTTATTGGTTGAACTGGAGGCAGCTGCGTAGAAGCTGTTTCTCCCTTCTCAGCGCCATATTGTGGGAGAGCAGATGCATAGAATAGGTCTTAATTCCAGTAACTTAGTCTAGTCCGGGTTGCTCCCCACAATTAATATTTCCCATTTTATTTTGACAAAGTTAAATGGATAATAAGTGTTTTACAAGTTTTTCAAGTCACATTTTCATTTATATGTTTTATATATATTTCTAATACTATTATATTTGATAAGGTATGTTATAGTACAGAGTATATATCTTACATATAAAATGAATACTACATAATAAGAAAAATAAGTGGTTGCACATTTGTTGAATGAGATGTTTGTTTTGTACTTTAAAAGGAAACTGGAACTGTTGTATTTTCATCTGAAGAAAGAATCATGTCAATATTACCTTAATAGATGTGTAAAACATCTTCCCAAAACTTTTCTTACAAAAAATAACATTTTATTTTAGAAGATATTACTCCCTTGGAACTAGAAAAAAGAATAAGCATGTAACTCCATTCGTTGTTAAATTCAGCATCACTAACCTTAGAGCTTTACAATCCTCCATGTTATACAACAAATACCTTTCAAAGTTAATGTTGACCTTGTTCAACGTCTCTTGATATCCGTGATGGCAGACGTTGTCTGTGGATTCTCTGAATTGTAGGTATTTAGCTTTACACCACAGTTCAGTCATATTTCCTAATATAAAATTGAAAACCTGAAAGAAATTCAAGACTTCAACTAAATAAAAATATGACTATTTCAACTTATGCTACAGTTTACAGAAATATAAGTTTATGTCTCCAGAATTCATTTTAAGGCAATATATTTTCCTATTCATGGATTCTACTTCAAGTATCTTAGGTTCATGGTGATATGAATAGATAACTATTAAATTATGAGGGTAGGCATTTGAAGAAATAATGATTTTGTAATATATTTTACGCACTTGATTTTCTGATCTACCTTAAGTTGTAACTCCTAGTATATAAAATTTACAGGAAAATTTAGAATAACTAGCTTTGTAAAACATAATACACTATAGCAGGTCTTTAAATCACATAGGAAAATTCAAACATGATGTGATTGTATACAAATTTTGGGCTGTTGCCATGCCAGCCAGATGTCTTCAACCCCACACTCCACCAACATGTGCACACTGGTAATGGAAATACTAAAAGTACATTTTATAGAATCCTTTCGCTGCAGTACTGTGGTTTAGATTTCTCCACTAAGAGAACTTAGATAATATTGGAAGACATTGACTGCAGATTAATCCCAGGATTCCTTTATCTTATTTGGACTTAATGCTCCATTTTTGTTTTCCGTCTTTGGATGTGTATTTATTTTATTTTATTTTTTTACTATTGATAGAAACTGGACCCCTATCTATTCATGAACAAAAATTAATTCAAAATTGATTGAAGATCCAAATATAAGAACTGCAACTTTAAATATGCCAGTTGAAAACATAGGAAAAATAATTGTAGACTTAGGAGTGGGCAAGAGTTTTCTGACTCAGACCCAAGAAACATGGAAAAAAATTGCAAAATAGACAAATGGGATTCCATCAAACCAAGGGTTAACTACACAGTATAGGAAACAATCCACAGAAGCAAGACAGGCATGCAGACAACTCTAGATTTATCCATGGCCTCCTGAAGTCTTCTGATTCGGGGGCAATATCCTTTCTTGGTTTCTGGTTTTCCAGTACGTTGAATAATTTTGTAAGTACTGATATCTTCTATGTTTCTGATGAAATATACACAAGGCTTTTTATTTCTGTTTTGTATGGAAGCTTAATAAGCAATGTTTTAATTTATAATTTTAGGTATACTTCATTTAGATATATAGAGTATACTACTAAAATCAACCTAAAGTATTTTAATGCTATATTATATTTTTTCTGAGTGATTGTTTCTGATTTATTATAAGAAAACCACTGTGTATTACCAATAAAATATCATCTATCTTTACAATTCAGTTGTTCTACTATTTGATTTATGTCTCTAATTCCCTATTTTTATAGAGACAGGAGACAGCTAAGATGTAACCTCAAGAAGAAAGACAGGAACACATGGGGCCCAACAAACTCAACCCTGACATGCAGAGGGAGACTGAAGGAGGACAAGCAGAGGGAGAATCAAGTCTCAAGTGCAGAGAGATATGCTCAGAACAAAATTCTCTTACTACTCAAAAATAAGATGGAATAACTGCAAACACAAGCAGGATATGGTTACAGCTGGACCCATTCAGCTCAAGCTATTGACCTTGAGACAATGAGAAGGTTATTGGTGAATAAATTGCATGGTTACAGAACCCTGTAGAACCTTCTTCGTAGTGCAAGAATATAAGTCCCAAACAACTTCCACTTAATAGTATCCCAGCTCAGAGACCCCTCCCACTAGGGCAACTTTCCATTGCTTCCATAAACTTAGCTTCATTGCTCAAATTCTTTGTCTGTGCTCATCGTTTTTCATGGTGACCACAAGATAGGAACCCAAGAGCTAGAACTATTAACTCCTGCAACAATTTGAATAATGTAAAATCATAATTGTATTGTTAAAAATCCTTAGTGTATTATCCAGAAAATGCTCTACCAAACTATTTATTTCATAGATTTATTAATTATTTTTAAATATTTTTTAAATTACTGATTCTCAAACACAGTATACAGGTTCAAATCAATATGGCAATGCCACTACATTGTTTTTTTGTTTACTTTAATTTACTCTCATAATTCAATCTTAGCTCATATCCATAGATAAAATAATTTACTTATATTTAACTTTCTAAATGTTAATTATTTGAAAAAAGCATTGGATAAGATTTTATAAATTCTTACAAATCTTTACTCACATGAGAGACCCAGAGGAAGCTCCTGGCTCCAAGTTTCAGCCTGACATAGCCCTTATCATTGCTCAATGATGTTTGAGAAATTGAATACATGTTTTATATATAATAAATTGCCCATTGATAGTATTTTAAGGTACTTAAATAAGCCATTTATTCCTTTATCTCCTCAACAAAGTGTAATTGGAAGCTTTGTATTTTTGATATCATCAACATATATAAAAATCACAAACTAATAGTTTAAGTTGAAAATAGTCTTTTTAAAAAATTTTATTTAAGTTATAGGATTTTCACGTATTTCATAGATACAGAGTTAAGAACATAGTGGCACTTGACTTCTTCTTCTCCCTCCCACCCTTACTCCAACATTTCCTCCTACTCTTTCTTGGACTCCCAGTCTTAATTTTTATAATGATCTATTTTCAGTACAGTTAGTGATAATATAGTCTACCATATTCTAAATAAAAGAGTTCAACATTTAGTACGAAGAGAAAAACTAAACATTGTTCCTCAATGGAAAAGACAGGAGCTATAAACAATCATCGATTCTCAAAGTATCTATTTCATTCCAATATATTACATTTCAGAAATAGAAGAAGGAAAGGAAGGAAGGAAGGTAGGAAGGAAGGAAGGAAGGAAGGAAGGAAGGAAGGAAGGAAGGAAGGAAGGAGAGTGAGAGCAATAGAAGTATCATATTAAAATTGTATCTATGATTAAATCTGTCCCTTTTATAGGAATACAAATTAAAACAAAATAAAGCAAAAAGAAAGAGGAAAATATTTTAAAAAGAAATTAGAGTTTGTATAAGGTTTTTGCCTTTTTATTCTTCCTTTTGAAAATTTAAATCTCCTTATATGTTAAACAAAATGAAAGTGAGATGACTCAGGAATAGTTAGCAGAATACTAGCCCCATTGTAGACCAGTTACGTGCAAAGAGATAAAGACACACTTAAAAAAAAATCCAAATTATCCAGGTTATTTGTACCAAATACCCAAAACCTTGAAGATCATAAATATGGAGCAGGGTGTATCAAATCTAGCTTTAGTTATTTCATTCTTTCTCACCTCTCACAAATTCTTAAATGTATTCATGCTTCTCCTGATATCATACTGCCAGAAAACAGCACAGCTACTTTCTCTAGCACTGGCCTACTCTTCCCATTTACTCACTCAGATATTTCCTAAAGTGTTCTCTTATTAAATTATTTTATCATGTAATTCTCAATTAGCTGGCAATAACTGATGGTTTATTTCCAGCTTTTTAGGCTTTGGAAATTGTAATCATCACATCTGGATTGCAGTTTTTGTTGGGGTATGGTAGTTGTTAATCTTGTCAAAGATTACATTCCATACATAAAACATGACTTCATCAAAAGACTAGGTCAATTCTACCACAACGTTTTATTATTTTTTCATAGTAGAAGTCATTGAAGGGATTTAATTATTACACTCAATATTTAATTAAGAAGCATAATTAGATCAAAGACACATGTAATAACTAAAACAGACAGATAATGAGGTGGGCATTTGGCCTAGTTGTAAAGACACTCAAGACACACATCAGAGTTCATAGGTTCAGATTCTAGCTCTGTTTCCTGATTCCAACATCTATCTAATGCAAACACTGAGACGAAGTAGTGATGGCTCACCTAAATGGGTCCCTCTTACCCTCAGGGGAGACCTATACTGAGTTCCTGGCTCACAGCTGTAACCTGATCCAGCCTCAGCCATTATGATTATTTGTAGGGGTGAACCAGGAGATGGAAGTGTATCTCTCTCTCTCTCTCTCTCTCTCTCTCTCACATACACACACACAACACACACATACATTCTCTTTCTGTCTCTGATTCTCAAATAAATATTTCAACATGAAAACATGTATTAATTTAAAAATGTTTGTGTAATTGATGGATTTTTTGTTGCTGTTAGGAATGTGAATATAAATGATGCAGACAGGAAGAGCCACTGTTTTAGTGACTCAGACCATTACCTCATTGATGAGACTGTCACCACAGTCAGGACAACAATTATGCCTTTCAGTTGCAGAATGATGCTTTCTCACATAATGCTTTTTAAGTTGTCAGGAGTCTATGACACACTTTGAAAATATTCACATTAATGAAAAAGAAAGAGTTCAGATCAGAACAAGGAAGGGGTGAATTGTTTGATTTGTTTCTAATGCAATTTTACTCATTATCTGTCCAGGGAAGTTATTTCAAAGGATGCTACTGGTGAGAAAGTTTAGAATTTAAAATCTGTGATGATTAGTGCATAAAGTGTACACAAGCTCTGAGGAAGTTATTAATTACTGACAACCAGTATTAGTGGACACACGTCTCTAAAGATTCATGAAACTTTATGTAAATGAGATTTCAAAGTAATAACGGTTCTGCAACCCTGAGATCAGTTTATGGAAAGCAGAAACTTTCATTTGACTATGGGTCGCATAAATGATCAGTTACCCAACCAAGCTCTTTATGTGTTTTCTAAAGGACATTCTATTGTAGGAGGGATGGCACTGACTCCATTTAAAGATTATATTTTCTAGTAGCCTTCATAGTTATCAAAATCCATGTGACCAGGTCACTAAATTCAAGTCACTTGTTTTTCAAAGATTTATTATTTGAAAGTCAGAGATATACAGAGAGAGAAAGAGAGAGAGGTCTTCCTTCCGCTGGTTCATACCCCAGTTGGCCGCAACGGCCGGAGCTGTGCCGATCTGAAGCCAGGAGCCAGGAGCTTCCTCTGGGTCTCTGACGCAGGTACAGGAGACCAAGGACTTGGGCCATCTTGGGCCTGATTTCCCAGGCCATAGCAAAGAGCTGGATTGGAAGTGGAGCAGCTGGGTCTTGAACCGGCACCCAT